TGTCTGCGCTGCAGCATTTGCTGTAAGGTACAATTCACCCCAGGCCAGCAGGGAGGAGTGTCTAGCAGAGCCCTTGGCCAGGGCAGCTGAGCAGCCAGTCTCTGCTACATACAGAGCAAGGGGGATGAGAGGTGCCTCTCCCCTCCAATACTTATCATTTACATCTCGTGAAGCAGATTTTAATGAAACCCCTTCTCCTCTGGCTCTCACACTGTCTCTGTAGAATAACTAGCTGCAAGTATTAGAGGGTTTACAAGGAATCGACCAAAAAAAGAACCCAAACCAAATTCTGACTGGAGAGCTCCAGCCATCAGTTTTACTTGATTCCTGTGGATTTCGACGTCCATCACAAATGCAAGGAGTGTATTTCCCAGCACAATTAAAGACACAGCTTATGTATTTATTTCCATTTCAGACTGTAAATCTGGAGTTCAATTAAAACTCACTGAATAGTAGTTTGCATCTGAAAAAATATTTTCCAATGAACACAACAAATTATTTTACTGACTGAACCTCAAACTGCCTTCTGCTCGAGGCTGCTATATCCTCCCAGCTCCTACAACAAGATTGTTTCTTTTATAAGCCCTTAAAATGTTGCCATTGCTTCAAAATTACGTGGATTTTTCTGACAGAGTTCAAACTGCATATTCTTTCCAATCCAAACTGAGCTGCACAGGGGAGAAACAAGGCTCAGCACATGTGAGCTTGCTATCAGGACTCCTCACCTACTACTATTCAGGACACATTAGCATCACAGACATCTTCCTGCCTGCCACATCTTTGCATTCACGGAGCACCTGCCAAAATTCACAGGCTGCGGAAGCTGCCGCTGAATCATTGCCCAGCTCTGGCTCCTATCACTGGGACTGAAATTGTGAGATCAAAGAGGAAAGGAATGCAGAGCATCTTGTTTGCATGTCACCAATGCCATTTTGCTGCGAGGCAGCTAGAGAAAGACACACACAGACAAGAATTATTGGCAGCAGGAGAGAGAGCACGGCAAGAAAGCCTGGCTGCGGAAAGACCAAGCCCACAAGTTGGGTGTTTTACAAAGCAGCACACTCCCGCGGTCCAGCTAAGTACAAACTACACCAAAGAATCCAGTGTCACAGATGCCCTGAAAAACAGCATCAGGAAAAGGCCACCTTCTTGTCAGTGGATGTGCTGCTCCCTGGACACCCTCATGCTGCACTGACTCACCCCAACCTGCTCCTGCCCTTCTGTCACAGGTCTTATGCTGATTTTCTTACATGCCTATCCGCTGGAATTAAGAGACTGTTGAAGAGTCTTTGTTCTAAATTCTTGTTTTTAAGTTCCTCTATAGTTCACGTGGGCTTAAAAGAACAACATTGTGCCCCCCACGAGTCAGAGAGAGGCCCAAGGCAACATAAAGAACCTAAAATTTATTATTTGCTACCTAAGCCAATTTCATTCATCTGGCAGGACCTGAATCAGAATAATTCTGATTGCTGAGATCTGGCAGCACTAATGATGGAAAAAAGCTTCTGTCACTTTTATTTTTTATTATTTTTTAAACGCCTTTTCTCACAGTGCTCATGAGAAGGAGCTGGATCCTGCCCAAGCTCATGCAGGATCGGCAGAACAACCGACTTCCCAGCTGCGGAAAGCTGGTTTAAAGGCAGCATGAGCTGGAAGTCCAGCGTGATAGTCAGCTTTCAGGGTTGAATATCAAAGGTGGGAAGAAATCTGCCACCTTCTTTTGTTCATAATTAGGAAAGATGAAGTCTAGAAATCACTGAGAGATCACAGCTGGCCACATTCCCCCATTACAGGTTTCTGTACAGCTCCTAGGTGTTAAAGTAATAGATGAAATCATGACAGACAGAGCACATTCAGACACTGACAGCACAACTGAGAGCTGCAAGCATATCTGTGCAGAACTGAGCAATCTCTTGAAGCCCCTACCGCAGAGCAGCTCTCCAGGGCAGGTAATTCCCACTCGCTTGGTAAGACACATGAGGAGGGACACTCTGCACTGCTGCAGGAATGGAGCAAAACCACAGCTCCTCCATAGTTTTTTGAGTCAGTGACATACTAGGGTTCATCAAATGGCCAAACTGCAAGCACAGTCTTAGGCATTTATGAGGAATACAGAACTGCCATTTAAGTCTCCTGCTCTGAGACAGAAGCACTGTAACAAGGCAGACTTGATGCTGTGGGTCAGGCCTACCTCTCTGGACAAGACCCTCCCACTACGCAGTGTGGTATTTACCCCAGCAGGTCCAACCTCACAGAGGAGCCTGCAAGCAGGGGGTTCTCTAGCACAAGAGACTTCAGAAACACTCAACTCCTAGCCAAACACAACAGTGCCCCTTTCACCTTCCCCTCCTCGAGAGGGGCACCAGCCATACCACCACTGCTTCATGCCCAGCACCGCCTGCCAGTGCCTGCCCGTGACTTAAGCCATCTGGATGGGACTCAACACAACTCTACCCCAAGGCCCCAGCCATGCTCTGCATCTGCTAGGGATGCCCCAACGCCTTCATTCACCTCACGCCTGGCAGGATCCCAACGTCTGCAGGTGTGTGCACTCGTTCCCCTCTGATACCCATCACCCGAAGCCAGCAGAGCAATTCAACTTCAGCATGTCAACTCCCATCTTGAAAACTGCAAAACATCTAGAGAGCTGCACGTGCTCTTATCTCCTTGCTTCTCATCCTGCTCCAGCACCAGCTGTTTTGTTCCTCTTGCCTCTTCTCCATGCCAACCCTAAGCCTCCAGAGATGTTAGAATTTGAAATCCACCCACGAATGATCTATCCCAAATCACATTCCCCCAGGCAAAACCACCTAGACCAAACGGATGAGTTCTGATGCCACTTGTCCACGCTGGCCATTTACTTCAGTGCCTAAGGATGGCGGCTCCCCATAATGGCGCAACTCCCCTGCCCCATCCCCTCCCTGCTTCTCCAAACTTCAGATGCCTTCGCACCCTCTAGGAGGTGAACTAACATCCATCAAACCGGACACTTTTATCTTCCCCTGGGCGCCTCTCCGAACAGGAGCGAGCTCCAAGCTGACACCCGACCCTGCGCACGCACCTTCCTGCTCTCATCAGCTCTAACTTCGCAGAAAAGGGAGAAGACCCGGCGCAAAGAGGGCTATCACCGGCGGCCCCCACGGGGGCCGGGTCGCACAGCCCGGGCCGCGGCGGCCGCCCGCCCGTCCCCGCCCG